TTTCCAGGAGTCTTTCAGGCCAGCACTCTGAGAGACCTCGGCTCCTCCCCATCTGAAGAAACACCTCCACCTAAAATAAAAAAGCTCCACTCCCCTCTGACCTCAGTTCTCCAAGCATCCTCCGGTCACCTGGGGAGACACAATGCGAGACAACATAATCGTAATAAGCCATCTACACATAATCAACATCAACACTGGGTGGGAAACCAATGCTGCCTGAAAGACTCCTAGAAAAGACGTTACCGTAAGTGTAACTTGATTTTTCCCCTACCGTCTTTCAGGCCAGCACTCTGAGAGGATAAGCGAGTACTCACCCCTCGGGTGGGCTAACTGCTTGCAAGACCTTACGACCAAAGGCCTGCTCCTGCACCGAGACCAGGTCCAGTCTGTAATGCTTGGCAAATGTGTCATAGTTGGACCATGTTGCCGCTCTGCAGATCTGCCCTGGGGAAACCCCCGCTAGCTCTGCCTGGGTAGCTGCCACCGCTCGGGTGGAATGCGCCCTGATACCCTCCGGGGCCTCTAGGCCCTCAGCCTGATACGCTCCTGCAATCGCCAGCTGCAGCCAGCTGGGCCAGCGTCCTTCTAGCCCCCTTAAAAAAAACAAAAAGGGATTCGGTGCTCCTGAACTCCCTAGACTTCTCTAGATACTGGAGTACGCACCTTCTTACATCCCAAACAATGATACCTTTCCTGATCTACCCCCACCGGGTCAGGAAAAAACAAGGGAAGGACAATGTCCTGTTCCCTCTGGAAACTCCGAGCCACCTTCGGAACGAAGGACGGGTCCGTTCTGAAAACAATTCTGTCCGAAAAAATACGGAGATAAGGTGGTCTGATCGATAGGGCCTCCAGTTCACATACCCTCCTTGCCGTGGTAATTGCCACCAGAAAAGCCGTCTTAATGGTGAGCTCACTAATCGGGCAGGACTCCAGGGGCTCGAACAGAACCCTAGTCATCCCCCTGAGCACCTTGGCCAAATCCCACACCGGAAACGGTCTGGACCTCGGAGGCCTCTGCCTCACCAGAGCTTTGAAAAACCTAACCACCAACGCCTCCCTGGCCAGGGGTGTTTTCTAAGAACACACTGAGGGCCGAGACCTGGCCCTTGAGCGTGCAGACAGACAACCCCTTGTCTGCCCCCGCCTGCAGGAATTCTAACACGGAAACCAAACTATGGGTTGCCACTGATGCCCGGTCAAACCAGGCTGTAAAGCAACCCCAGACCCTACCATAAATGGCCCGGGTCTCCTCCTTCCTACTGGCCAGTAATGTCGCCACTACCCTAGGTGAGAACCCTTTCTCTAAGAGGAGCTGCTGCTCAGAAACCAGGCCGTTAACCTCAATCTTCCCACGCTGGGGCAAAGAACCGGCCCCTGTGTTAACAAATCTTCCCTTGGTGGCAGCTCCCAGGGTGGACGAGAGGCCAAACTTTTTAGGGTCGCGAACCAAGCCCGCCGCGGCCAGAAGGGAGCTATCAGGATTAACGAGGTGCCCTCTGTCCTGAACTTCCTCAGGACCAGGGGGAGCAAAGGAACCGGGGGGGAAGGCGTAACAAAGCCGGTAGTCCCACCTCTGACCTAATGCGTCCACCGCTTTTGACCCGTCCCTGCGGGACAGAGAGAAGAAATTTGGGACCTTGTTGTTCCTTCCTGAGGCAAAAAGGTCCACATCCGGGGATCCCCACCTTCGCACAATCTCCTGAAAGACCTCGGGGTTCAAGGCCCATTCCGACTCCCTGAGCCGAGTCCTGCTCAGGAAGTCTGCCTTCTGGTTCAGCTCCCCCTTCAAGTGTATTTCAGACAGGGACGCCAAGTTCACCTCTGCCCAGAACAACAGCGTTGCCGCTAAGGCTCCGAGGGCCTTGCTCCTTGTCCCTCCCTGCCTGTTTATATAAGCCACTGCCGTGGCATTGTCCGTTAGGATACGCACGTGCTGGCCCGTGACCCACGCTTGGAAGGAGTGCAGAGCCTCCCCCACTGCCCTCAATTCCTTCCAATTCGAGGATTCGCCCTTCTGCACTAAGGACCATTCCCCCAGAGTCACCCAGGTGGGCTCCCCAGCCCCTGGAGCTGGCATCCGTAGTGACTTCCCTGGATACCGGAAAGCACAACAGCCCCTGAGTTATGCTGGACGATCTCCTCCACCACCATAGAGACCTCTTCACACTGGGGGGAACCAGGACCCGGTTTTCTAGGTAGTGACTCCTCCTGTCCCAAACTCTCAGGACCCACAACTGGAGGGGACGCATATGCAGACCTGCCCACTGAACTGCTGGAATGGACGCTGTCAGTAATCCAAGTGCCTGCCTTATCGATATCGACCTGCTCCCCTGCAGTAATCTGATCCCTGCCTCCAACTTGGTGATCTTCTCCGAGGTCAGGCTGGTCTTTTGGTCTACTGAATCTAGAGCGTAGCCCAAGTAAACCACTTTCTGAGAAGGCACCAGACAGGACTTCTCCAGATTCAAAATCCACCCCAAGCTTTCTAGACGGCCCCTCACTATAACCAGGTCCTGCCATAAGTGAGCCTCTGAATCTGCGAAGATCAGCAAATCGTCCAGATAGGCCACCACTAAAATCCCCCTTAAGCGAATAGAAATCAGTGCCTCCGACAGAACCTTGGTGAATACTCTTGGCGAGGAGGAAAGGCCGAATGGAAGAGTCCTGAACTGCCAATGTCAAATTCCTTCCGCCCCCCCTACTGCCAACCTGAGGAACCTCTGAGAGGCCTCCGCCACGGGCACGTGTAGGTAGGCGTCCTTCAAGTCTATGGATGCCATGAATGCACCCGGCGGGATTAGGGACCTGATTGTAAAGATGGAGCCCATGCGGAACCTCCGGTAGCGCACTGACTTGCTCAGGGGTTTCAGGTTCAAAAGCAGCCTGAATGCCCCAGACGGCTTTTGAACCACGAACACATGGGAATAAACCCCCTTCCCTCGTTCTTCCGGAACCCTGGAGATGACCCCCTGGGACTCTAGACCCTCCAAGGCGTCCACCAGAGCAGCGGCCTTCGCCGGATCCTTCGGACGGGTCGTCACAAGGAATGTCTCGGGTGGCGGTCCTATAAACTCCAACCGGTAACCCATTCGGATGATATCCAAAATGAAGGGGCTGGCGCCCACGGCTTCCCACTGTGGGAGGAAGGCCGCCAATCTCCCTCCCACAGGAGGAACCAAGTCACCTCGGTTTCTGGGGTTGCTCAGGAGGGCGAAAAATCACCCCCCCCCCCTCTTCCCCTACCTCTCTGCCCAGCCGACCTACCCTGACCAGCAGGTCACAGGCTCAGCCTCTTTGCCGGGCGGGCCTTCCGTGTCCCCCCCCTCCTGCACTTTCCTTTTGAGGGGGAAGGACTTCTTCCTGTCAGCCGCCCGGTCCAATAATTCCTCCAACCCTGGGCCGAACAGACAATCTCCTGTGAGGGGGATGCCGCACAACCTAATTTTAGAAGTGATGTCCCCCTGCCACGCCTACCGCACCTTGCACCTCCTCATGTCTCCCCACCAGAGGAAACACCTGAACTGAGGTCAGAGGGGAGTGGAGCTTTTTATTTTAGGTGGAGGTGTTTCCTCAGATGGGGAGGAGCCGAGGTCTCTCAGAGTGCTGGCCTGAAAGACGGTAGGGGAAAAAAAAAAAAAATTGGATTATACAGTCAGTACTGTGCTCCATTTTCTACATCACAATTTAATTCAAGAAAGTGGTAGAGTACTTAGAATCAACAATTCATTACCACAGATGTTCGACATCAACTCCATATTAGGAGAGTACCATCATCCCTATATATCAGGGGTGTGCAACTGTAACACCACAAAATCATAATCTTAAAAAAAAAGTTATAATACGTTTAAAAATGTGACAGTATCCCTTTTACTGGACTTTTCGTTTTTGTCTTCCCAAAGACATATTCCACTCTTCACAATCACACTTTCACATTAGTTCTCAGCAGCACCTATTTTCAAGGATGAAGCACACAGAGGGCAAAATATCTGAGGAGAATTGCTGCTACATCCATTGAAGCAGATATTGATGCATTAGTTTTTATTTAACTGTCAAAATACTTGTTTCATGTTGCCCTCTTTTACAATAATAAAAAAAATTATGAAGTTTTTTTATTACTCGAATAGGTACATTAATTAAAATCAGTGATTTTTAACTTGTGATCTGCCCAACTTTTTCTGCTCATCAGCTATCCTAAGCCTGGTACACGTTCAGCATATCGGATGAAGGATTGTCTTTTTTCATGCTAGTTTCATATTGAAAACGAATATGAGACTAGAGTTACAAAAATTCTAGTAAAACAGAATACAACTTCCCACGATGATGTAATGCATTCTATTGTTTCTGAGAATGCGTGGTCTTGGTCACACATTTTTATGGATGAATACTGTACTGATTACACAAAAATCACTGTTCTTACGAGAAAAAAAAAAAAATCAAGCTTGTTCCTTTGAATAATTTTGCATGAACTGTCATGATCAGCTCTCAAAAGCTGTGCACTAACGATCAAATTAGGGAAGGACGAATTCCCTGTGAATGTCGATGTAATAATGTCAAGATACTGAACAGTGTCAACTGTATGATGACAAACATTTGTTTTAAAAACATGCTAAACTAGTTTTTAGACAAAAAAAAAAAAAAGTGAACTAAAAAAAGGGTTGGCAGACTTACTACATGCACCCCACAATCGCCTTATGACATCAAATAGTTCACGATTGAGCAGTGAATGTAGTAAGGTGCACTGCCTGGTCACAGTAGATTAAGCACACACTGTCATTGTTTTCTATTGCAGAAAAGTGGAGTCTACTTTTTATATAGAAAACCTAAATTTTATTTAGCATTAGTGCAGTACATTAACAGAAAAAAAACACATGGAATAATATAAAAATCCAAACATATAGCATAAGATATGCAATACATGAGAACATACATTTCTAGGTTACAAGGCATAAAATACAGAATATCAGTATGATCACCAGACATAAAAACCCATCTAAGTATTACCTACAGCCACATTCATCCACAGACATATTTTCATAATGTTTTAGCACCACATTGTCATTATTGTCATAAAATAGCATGGATATTGCAGACATCTTTATGGGTACACAGCAGGGTAGGGGAACATCATCAGGCTCAAAGGAGTGGGCAAGAGTCTGAAGGATGGCATGATTGGATCCATTCAGCACTTCTGTTATTGGGTAAGGGCATTCACCGTGGCAGTAGTTAGCCATGTATCCCTGAGGGGCAACGATCCATTTCTGCCACCCAACATCCTGAAATTCAACATAGAGGTGTCTCCTTCTACAGATATTGCTGGCAGTGAAATGTGGCTTTGCGTAACTTCTTTTCGTTCGTGATGTCTTACATAGCAGAGGATTGAAAGTCACAGCTATTAGAGAGGTATAGAAAAAAGTTTGTATCTCTTGACACCCACTGGTTTGGCCTGCTAACAAGCTTCCTTCTTTTCTTTGAGAGATCTCTAAGGCCAAACCCAGGTTTTTATGAGGGTCCTGCCAACTCTGGCAAGTCTCTGTTAAATTAAAGTAGAGGGATTTGTGAAGCAAACGGAATGTTTGGACAGTCAAGAGTTTTCTGCTCAATTTCTGGTTGGCCATTCCTTTTAGTGTCAGCTTTGTAATTCTGTAAAGGCGCAAATCAAATATCTGTCCATAGTAGGTATTCCGGGCTGAATTTGATTTCCAACCTTCCCATGGTTACCTTCTCCTCTTTCTCCATTATGGATATATTGAAGAATAATCTCTTTTCCAGGCACATTTTAGTAGGAGGGCTAGTAGGATGAGGGTTGACAAACCGCCCTGACAAGGGAAAAAAAAAAAAAAAAAAAAAAAAAAAAAGAGAAGGAGCATAAGGTATGGAATAGAAATACAGTCAGCATCTGTGCAGATAAACCCACATTAAGCAGTTCTACATTTTGATCTAAAACAGAAACCGTAGATGGCTTCTCCATTAGGGCCTATGGAGAAAGGCCAAGCACATATAACTGCACATGATCTACCAGCTTGGCGAATGATGGGGTAACCACCAAGCCTATTGTAGGCTATGGCTTGCAGGCAAGGTTGACCACTTATGTGAAGACTGTAGCAGGGCCCTAATATGAAATCTGAAATAGTGGCCCAAAATAAAATTTGTATAGCAGTAGAGTTAATATCACCCTATGGCCATGTCAATTTTTTTTGTTTGTTTTTTTAAAGTTGCACTGTGAATTTTAAGTTTTAGTTATGGACTTGATTCCATGATAACTTTGGACCTAAAGTTTTATCAAACCTACCTGATGAAAACAAGATCTACACCAGTATACCTTAGATTACATTGCTCACCAGGAGATTTGATTGTAACGTGTCATTTCTTTAGACTCCTTTTAATTTTTCTTCCCCTTGTTTTCTTCTATATAGTAGCTACACAGTCTTACCAGGTCCCCTGGAGCCCTAGAACAACCCCCCTTGTGTGCACGCACTCCTGTCCAGGTACTAAAATTAAATCCTGCGATGCACAGGGCACGTAGCCCAATGTCCAGAAACTGGTTAGAGAGGTACCATTAACGGAAAAATCTTAAGCAACCTGCATGCTTCTGTGTGTGCTGGATTCCTAATCCTCCTCTGCTTTCTGTGGCCCTTTCCCCCAGCCCCTACAACACAACTTTGTACTGTAGCAATGTTTAGGCTGGTGGAGGAACCACAAAGCAGTGGGGGACATGGCATCTGACATGCCATATGTTAAGATTTTTCAAGCGGCGGCAAGTCTTGAATACAACAAAGAATGGCAGCAGAGCACTGAAGTATGGTGGTAAATGCTAAAATTTAGGGGTTAAGGGACAATATAAAAAAAGGAAACTGTTCAGGTAGAGGATAATTGAGTGTTTTGGTAATATTTAACGTAGAATATTTTGGTCCCCACTTTAGGAAGTGCAGATTTTTAAATTTCTTTTGGGAGATCCTGAAAGCCATCAGTTCTGAACTCTGAGCGAAGAACAAAATCACTGAAGTAAATGTTTATTGTACTCATTCTTCCTGAACAATCTATATTATCCTGCCATTATTTTGTAGATACCTAGCCATCACAACCTTCCATGAATTTTTGGGACATAATATTACAAATCTATAGGCATTAATCTGGATTTAGCCCCTTTCTGTGCAGCTTCAGCTACTACCTCCACCCAGAAGAATAGAAACTTTTCAGCTACGAGAAGCTCCAGTAAGGCTCCAAGATTTTGAAGAGGGTCTGGGAAGTGGTACCCATTCAGAGGTCAGGGCTATGTGCAAATCATTTAAAAGTTCCACCACACCAAATCATGGTTTTGATCTATTAAATCTGGCGAATGCAGAAGCTGGTGTAGCTGTGCATGGTAGCCAATCGGCTTCTAACTTCAGCTTATTCAATTAAGCTTTGATGGAAGCCGATTGGGCGTCTATGCAGAGCTGCTCCCGATTTCCAGTTTTAGTAAGTCAACCCCAAGTCTTTTTGGGCCTGGTTTTGTGCACAAAGGAAGAGCTTCTCAAAACCCCACCATATGAAGCACCCAACGGTCTAAAATGTCTATGGACACTGTAGCTGCTGTATCTTTACTGGAAAGACCCAAACTCAATTTTGAGGGGTGTCCACATACTTTCAGGTGTAATGGATGTGTATCCAAGTGTTTTGACTATATTATTGTACATTCTCATGAATTAGAGTAATTGTTTGCAAATCTTACCAGTAGAAGGAAGTTAAAAATCATTTATAACCACTGGAGGAAAAGAAACAGCGAAGTGGTGTCTGAAACTTCTTGGCACATACAAGAAGTTTCCTTTCTTTTAAGCAACTAGTGGTAACAAAATTAAGGCTGAAATCTGATTGCCATGGGCACTTCCTCTGTAATTTCCTATGCCATTCATAACCTAGGACATCATTACTTCTGCCCAAGTGGTTTCCTGCTCAGGCAACATGAACTGAAACAGGGAAGCCACATTAGCAAAAAAATGTTTGTTCTCAGGCCACATATAAATATAAATCTATTTATATTTCACATCTGTATTATGAAATCTCACAGCCTTCTTCAGGACAGAAATCATGAAAAAGTAGAACAGTCCTAATATACAGTATAAAAGGTTATATGGAGTATTTAATACATTCATTTGCTTGTTATCTGGACATTTTACAAGGAATTGGGCTTCACCAGGAGTTGGGCTTTGCCATCCCTAATTTGGAGCTGAAGATTAGTGTAGAACAGGTTGATGAAAGATTAAAGCATCCCAAAATGCTTCTAGCCTGCTAAACATATGGATTGTTTGATGTATCCAGACCTGTTTTGTGGCATGGCCAGCATTTAGGATTGTACAAGTGTTCTTTTCTGCCTGCTGTGCGATTTAGGACTGGCTCACACCATATAAATGCAGTCTGGATGCATTTCTGCTTGCACTTTGACACGTTCCAGTGCATTTTTTTTTTTTTTTTAAATGCGTTCCAGAAGCCAATTTTACCTTTTGTGGTCATTTGACGTCCAGTGCATTTTTTTGATGCATTACAGTACAGTTCTGTGCAGGAAAAATGCATCATGTTGTATGATGCATTTTTTTCTGGAACCAGAACACACTGGAGCTGCAAGCACCAGTGTGAACCATGCAACCTACTTTGTGCATTTTGAAAGAAAATATATACATTTGTGGGGTCCTGAATGCTAATTAAAGCAGAGTTCCAGGCTCCCCCAGAAAAGTTGTCAGCAACTACAAATACTGTAGCTGCTGACCTTTAATACAAGGACAATTTTGCCTATCCAAGGATTCAGCGATGTCCTCATCCGAGTCGATTCTTCAATTGGCTTTGAGTGCAGGTGCCAGAATCTTCAGGAAGGGAAACCAAAAGTAAAGCCTTGCTGCTTCATATCTGGATTCCTACTGTGCATGTGTGAATGGCCCCGCAGTCTTCTGGGACCTGTGAAGTGTTCCAGAAGGCTGTGGATGGAGGAGGGGGTGCTAGTCAGATTGCCACAGCACTGTCAAAATCAGGTACATGCTTCCCCCTCCCCAAAAAGGTGCAAAATGTGGAGGCAAACAAGTGGAACTTCCCCTTTCGAGTGAAACCCTACGTAGGTATGTATGTACACACACGTACAAAAAGGTAGGGTTTCACCCGAAGTTCCACTTGTTTGCCTCCTCCACTTCCACCATGGTCTACAATAATACCATCAATTGTGGAATTTTCTTCTCATACTTATGGACTATGGCTTGTCTATATGGACTTTGTTCTTTTGTTTTTGAAAATTTTCTACTAACCTTTATGTATATTTGAAGTGAAGTGAATTTTTTGCACATTAAGATTTGACCTTTCCTCAACCTCGATCGCTATTCAGGAGGTGTGAGGGTCTTCATAGGGCTCATAGATAATGCATGATATTTTAGGTTAATTTGACCACATATCACAGTTTTACATGCATTTGTAATTACTGTACTCAGTTTATTCAACCAATTTTTTTCCAAATTTGATTGCTCTTCAGAGGGGTGAGGGTCTTCATAGGGCACATGTATGCACTTTAGTTTACTATTACAGGGTTTTATTTTTAAATCACTTTTCAAAGGTGTGAAGGTCTCCATATTGCTCATAAAGTTTTAAGGGTTCACCTAGCGCAGTATCCATTTGAATTAGCCTTTTAAGAGACAATAGCCGCATACTTGAAGCTTTGTGACTTCAGTTGATTGGGGATTTGCGCGGTTTGATCTTACATACAATATTTACTGTTATGACCAAAATTCCAAATTTTGGGTTGCCCCCAGAACAGTAAGAGGGGAGTTCTTCCAATGGTTACACTAGTCCTGGTGACAACCAGGGATTCCTGCATTTTGGAAGAATTCTCTCACTTCCTGTTTTGGCTATGGGACAGGAAGTGAAATTAAATCTTCCCAGATGGGAAAAAAAACTCCACAAGCACCTCACACACCTGACAGGGGTTATAACCCTCCCCTACTCTATAGCCTTTAGTTCTACTTTAAAAAAGGACACATCACAAAATAGCCAGCCGTATATCAAAATGCAACATAGGAACTGTGCAGACAACACTCAGCTCAAGGTGATATAGGGGTCTCCAGACTACAGCCAGGGTTCTAGATCTGGCCAATGTGGCACTATTCCTCCCCTTGACACCAACAATGGGGCACCATTCCTCCCTTAATACTGGAGACACTCCAGCCCCCCTAAAGTCTGAAGAACTGTAGGCTGGCCCTTTGTTTAGAACATTTGGGGACCCCTGCTCTAATGGAATGGAGACTTTTCACAGTGAATGTTAATAGGTTAGAGCAACATGTGCAGACTTTAAGGCTAGCTTTACACTGTGGATACAAGATCCGCAGGGAAAATGCACAGTGGAAAAGCCCCATGCAGTTTTCCTGCAGCTACATTTTAAAAATGCTGCAGGCACCTTTTTTCAACGGGAAATGCAGGCACAGCAGCCCATTCAAATGAATGGGCTGCCATGCCCATAAAAATGCAGGCTACAAACCTGCAATAGTGTGAACCTAGCCCCCCCCAAAAAAATAAAATAATATAATTGAAACATTTGAGAGCAATTGGGGAAAAAAAAAAAAAAAAAAACAAAAAGGGGGGGGGGGGATAGCCGAGTGTTGGA